AGGATTTGTGGCTTGATTTCGGACCTTTAGTGCCCAAAAATGGAGATTTTCGAGTTTGGGGTAGGGTTTTGTGGGTTTGGTTGATTGGTTGGCTTTGGGAAGGATTTATGTGTATAGGGTGGAAGAGTGTGTAAAGAGGATGAAGAATATGGTGTTAATTGATGGATTTGGTGTAGAAATGGTGGGGTTTTGAAGCTTTGGAAATCAACAATGGAGGTTTGGGGGGAGTTTTGGTCGTGGGGGAGAAGAAGAGCTGGGGAAGAAACCGCCCGCCCGCCCCCTTATCGGGCTTTTGCCCGACCGCCCGGCCGGGTATAATTACTGCCCGGTCGGGTGTAAGCTGTTCATTCAAGGCAGTGAGTTTTTGCCGGATTACCCGACCGGGTTTTTTGCCGGGCCCGGTCGGGTCGTTTAATTCGCTTATCCAGTAGCCAATAATCAGATACACCCGGCCGGGTGAAATGAGGTACCCGGTCGGGTGTGAGCATGGTTTCCATTTTTTTTTTTTCTTTTTGAAAATCTTTTCTCACACACAAAAATAAATGAAAATGATCAAAATAAAAACTTGGGTTGCCTCCCAAGGAGCGCTTGATTTAATGTCGCGGCACGACGTTATTTTTATTTTATTTTCTGTTTTAAGTGGGATCGTGAACATCCCTTTTTTCCTGCTTCAAGGCCCTGTTTGGCCATGTTTCAATTTTAGTTTTCGGCCTTTTCCAGTAAGGCCGAACTTTCTTCCTAGTTACCACCTCAATAGTAGGTGGTTTTCCTTTCAAAATAGATTTTTGGGGTTCTTCTTTAACAAAAATATTCAGTGTTGGTGGTTCGAAAACATTTAAAGAACAAAGAGATTGATTTTTAATTTGTTTTTTAGTAGAATCAAAGATGTTGAATTCTACTTTTTGGTTATCAAATTCTATTGTTAATGAACCACTAAACACATCAATTTTTGTTTTGGCGGTTTTCAGAAAAGGCCTTCCCAAAAGAATGGGTGTCGTTTGGTCATCATCCCCCATTTCAAGAACATAGAAATCAACAGGGAAAACCAAATTTTCTACTTCTACTAGCACATCTTCTATTACACCTTTTGGGTAAATATTAGATCGGTCCGCTAGTTGAATCACTACACCAGTTTGATGTAGTGGGCCGAGTTGTAAGGATTTATACAAGGAATAAGGAATGACATTTATTGATGCTCCCAAATCCAACAAGGCCTTAGAAAATACGGTGTTCCCTATTTTGCAAGGAATAGTGAACATGCCCGGGTCGCTACATTTTTCGGGTAGTTTCTTTTGAAAAAGGGCCGAAACATGTTCACTCACCTTAACCTCTTGTTTTCTCTTCACTTTATTTTTTGTTTTTGTTTTGCATAATTCTTTTAAAAATTTAGCAAAACGGGGGATACTTTTAATTGAGTTAAGGAGTGGAAGGTTTACCTCACATTTAGAGAAAGTTTCATAGATGTCAGCATCTTTGTCAAGCTTCCTTGTCTCCCTCAATGCCTCGGGAAATGGGGCCTCTAGTTCATATGATGAATGTGGAGGCAGTTTTGCCTTTGTGATTCCATCCTCCGGGTGAGCTTCTTCGTGATCAGCTTCCTCGACCTTTTGATCATCCACCTCCTTCATTGTCGTATCACTTCTCAACATGATTGCGTTCACATGTTGTCTCGGGTTTTGCTCCGTTTGAGACGGGAGTTTACCCGAGTCCTTAGCTTCAAGTCGGCTTACGGCATTTGAAATTTGGCTAACTTGAGTTTCCAAATTTTTAATGCTTGACTTTGTCTCATGTTGGAATTGTATCATGGTTTGTTGAAATTGTCCCATGCTTTGTTGCATGGTAACCATGTTTGAAGTCAAAGCTCTTATCATGTCATCAGTTGACATATTAGGTTGAGAATTTGAGCCTTGATTGTTGTAAGATGGTTGAGAAGATGGGTTGGATTGTTGGGGGTTTCCATACCTCAAGTTTGGATGATCCCTCTGTCCTTGGTTGTAAGAGTTGGAGAATGGGTCGTACCTCCTTTGTTGATGTCCTTGGAAACCCAAGGCGTTGACTTGTTCTAGATTGTCTTCCTGAAGCGTTGGGCATGAGTCCGTGGGGTGCCCCTGTTGTGTACAAATGCCGCAGACCTTGACTTCTTGGGTCTTGGATTTTAAGAGGAAATCCTTAACCAAAGAAGTCAAGCCGGCAACTTGACTCTCCAGTGATGATGTCGATTCTGCAGCGGCAACTCTACGAGTTGAGGATCTGCGACCGAATTGCCGTGAGTTCTCGGCCAATTCCGAGATAAGATTTATAGCTTGTGAAGGAGTTTTATTAACAATGCCGCCTCCACAAGCGGCGTTCACCATTCTTCTATCATCATCAACAAGACCATCATAAAAGTATAAGATGAGGTCTTGTTCTGAGTAGCCATGATAGGGACAGCTAGCACATAGCTTCTTAAATCTTTCCCAAAATTCATATAAGGATTCATCATCCTTTTGCTCGATGTTGCTTATTTGCTTTTTGAGAGAAGATGAGATGGAAGCAGGATAATACCTATCGAGGAAGCACTTCTTCATTTGTGCCCATGTGTTGATGCTTCCCGAAGGAAGATAGAAAAGCCAATCCTTCGCGGTATCTTTCAAGGAGAATGGGAAGGCTCTTAGTTTTATTTGCTCTTCTGTGGCACCGTTTGGGCACATGCTTGTGCAAACGATGTGGAACTCCGAAAGATGTTTATTCGGGTCTTCTCCTCTCATGCCATGGAAAGATGGCAATAAATGTATGAGCCCAGATTTCAGCTCAAATGTATTACCTTCATCAAGAGTAGGAAAGGTAATACATAATGGTTGTTGATTCAAGTTTGGAGCTGTGAGCTCCCTCAAGGTCCTTGTCTCGAGAGCCATGTGGAATGACTCTTCGGATTCGCTAGAGCTAGAGCTAGCGTTTGAGGATTCCTCCGAGGGTGTGTGCGGAAACAAATTTCTCAACCTCTCGAAGGCTTGTTCTATTTCGGGGTTTGTTTGGTAAGTAAGCTCGTTTATAGAACGGGTTTTTACCATATACTCATGTCAGCTCAGAAATAGAAAAAGTAAGAACTCTTTATATTTTATTTATTTAATTTTTTTTTTTTATTTTTTTTTTATTTTAAAAATAAAAAGAAAAATAATTGCCTATCCCCGGCAACGGCGCCAAATTTGACGTGCACTTTGTCGTGATGTGCACTCAAAATAATAATACAATACAACAATTATACGTAGTATAACGTAGTAAGGTTCGTATCCACAGGGAAAGGAATACTTCTCTTTTTATAGAACTAGTAACAAAAGGGGGGGTTTAGATTTGATTTGATTTAATAAATTAAACACGAAGATGAACGAGTTATGTGGTTTAATTAATGAGAAGGAGACTTGGCTTTGCTTTTATCCACTTAATGAAATGTTCGTCGATCCCGGTTATATCTTTAACTATCTTCCTCTCGAATACTCAATCGAGGAGTATATCCGGTTCATCGAGGGTAGTTATTAATAACGAGATGCGTTCATTAATAAAACTTACTATCGAGTCAATATAGAACAAGCGCCGTATATTAGCTTGATAGTAGCAATAAACTTAAGATGAAAACGATTGAGATTGATAACCTCAACACAAGCGGTTTGTTGGTTAATCAATGTAATTAATTCCCCTTAGATTATTGACCATGAGATGCATGCATTAATAATCCAAGTTTACTACCGTGAAAAGACCGAATTAATAACAAGCGTATTAATCGACCGATTCTAGTATTAATTAATATATGAAACAAAACTAGTTGATCCTTTAAGTAATGTTCAAAATATTAATATGAAATATGAATAGGAATTAATTAATACTCAAGAAAGAACATTAAAGAAGATGAATCCTACTATTGTTAATATCAAGATGTTAACTAATTGTCATCTTAGTAACACTCCCCGATATTAACGTAGAAGAAGAAATAACTATTACTATAACTAATGTCAAGATGTTAACTAATTGTCATCTTAGTAACACTCCCCAACATTGATATAGAAATAGTATTTAAAGAAAGAATTAATATTCAAGGAAGAAGATTAAAGAGAATAACTCACAACTTACAAATTCATTAAGCTTCAAAGTAGCAAAACCAAGATGGAAGAGTTTAGCTCCTCATTTGGAGACTAAACATACTATAAAAATATAAAAGAAATACTATTCTAAACTGAGCTTAAGAGTATGGAAGAAGGGATGTTTTAAAAGTGAAGGAAATTGGGGCTATTTATAGGTGTTTTTCAACACCTTTGGCCGGGTACCCGACCGGGTAAAGTGCCCACCCGACCGGGTGCATGTCAAAATCAAATATCCTACACGTTCTGGCGAACTTCGGCACGTTCTGGTGTTCCGGGTCAAGTCGGACCCGACCGGGTGAAATACCTCACCCGACCGGGTGATGTAATTTCCTGAGTACCTGCATCTGTTAAATCAGACCCGACCGGGTGAAGTGTCTGACCCGGCCGGGTCTGTTCACCTGGATATTTTTCTTCTTCTTTTCACTTCTTTTCCTTGCCAATAACTCTACTACTACTTTACAACTTACTAAAAATGATTAAAATCAATTACAAACAAATGAAGATGATTGCTTAAAAACTAACTAAAAACGGTAAACATCCACACAGAATAAATATAAAAACATACATTTATGCACTATAAACTAGTGCATATCACCAACATATTTTCTTAAATATTTTTAAATCTTAAAACGTTTATTTGAAATATGTGGGGGATTGTTGGAAATTTTGTTATTTCAAATAAACAAAATATTTTGAACAAATGTTTTATTCTTAAGTAACCGAAAGGCTAATTAAAATTTCACTTAATTGGGTGGAGCCAAAGTAAAATTTTGACAGGATGATTTCTACTTGGTTAGCAATTGCACGTTACTTGGCTTACCATCATTTACTCCTATTTATTAGGATCACCAACAGTCATATTCTTCATTATTTTAATACGGAGCAAGTAACCCTTCAAAAGAAGATACGTAGACTTTGTCTTCTTCGAGAGAAAGAAAGGAAAAACTACTCCATTGAAAATGTTTTCTTTACTAAGCTTGTGTTGGATTATTGTAATTATTTCCCTCGTAGTTCTGGTTCCGACTTATTGTCGAAGGGCTCGTTATATCCTGGGGGAAGATTTTCGTTCACCGGAAATACTTTCAGAGGACAGCGTTTACGCGTCTCGAGCCATGGTGGTTTTTGCTGTCTTTCTTTGTAGGTGTCTCTCAAAAGTTGCTGCCTTGCTGGGCTGGTCCAGGAGAGGTGTCTCAGCAGCTTCTTCCGTGAACAATGGTGATCAAACCCGCTGCCCGAAGAGTAGAGATGAGGACAACACTCAGTCAGTCAGAACCGGCCGGACTGTTAGGAGCAAGCAAAGCGGACAAATCCCCAACAAATGGAACGTGTATTAGCCAGGCAGTGCAATCCATCTTTCAATTTAATTTACACACCATTTTCTCCTAAACAATACGTAATTCAGAATATTGGGAGGAGTATGATAAAAGAAGTGAACCAAAGTAAATCTACGTGGGCAGTCAAGGTTCGTGCCGTAAGTGTACAACGTTCCTGCTCATGATGGCATTCCACCGAAATGAATATTCCATGATGAATAGGTAAGTTTTCAATTGTTAATGTTTTTATATCTAACCATTTCCTTTTTGTCTCTAGGAACCAAAGTTCATGCGCATGTGAACAACTGTTCAAGTACTAAATTTTGTAGTCCAAGAAAACTTATTGGTTTTCGTACAACACATAATATTTTCAAATCGGAATTGATAATAGCAAACAGGCGTTTAAGAAAATGCAAATTCTTTTGCTGCTGGAAAATTGTTTTTTATATAGTTAACACAAATCACTTGGATAAAATACTCAAAATAGAATGATAGCACATTCTATCTATTTTTTTGAGAAATGTGTTACATTCTTTATGGTACTTGCTTCTTTTAATCAAGTAGAAATCCTAACTCTATGATTTTTGCAACCAAATTTATTAGATAAAAAACAAAAGAAGAAGATAATGCTCGCACAGTTGCTTTCTTATACTTTTCTACTAGATATCAAACACTGACGTGAATGCATACGAGCATGTTTCAGTGATATGATAAGTATGATAATACTTCGTATTAAAAAGAGTCTCACAAGTAACTACAGAGTATCATATTAAATCTAATATATACTTCAATACTTTTTTTAGATTTTGTCAATCATTCGTATTTACCAACCAAATTATTGTGATAATGAAATACTACGTATATTATCCTGTAATCATTCATGTTCAGAACTTCTTTGGAAAATTAATGGCTATCAAATGTCTTGGTGAAGTAAAAGAAATTTGAGAATATTCTTATCAAACATAAATGCTTATCAGAATTTCTTTAGAAAATCAATGGCTATTAAATGCTTAACAACAAGAACGGCAGAATGTTTTAAATGTTATTCATAAATTGTTGCCAAAAGAGTTTTCTTTAAAAAAACACATTGATGTATTAATTTGATCACAGTTTTTGCAACCCAAGTAGAAAGTTGTGCACTACTAAGGTATGTGTAACACTATTTCAGTAACTATCTTTACACATCCAGCAGAACCATAAGCTTTTGTTATCAGATTTTTAGAACAAAATCTGAAATTTAATTTATAACTTTTTTACCTAGATGAGAACATTGAGTCGGAAAGAAAACAATCAGATGTTTTCCCCAAGAGCAGGTGTTGCATGAGTAGGTATATGGTACAACCGGCTGTACGGTGAGCACCGTACAGCCGGCCCAACAAAATAATTCGATGGCATTTTTTAATTAATGTGAAAATCGCGGTTTCTGCTAAATGAGCATTATTAGTGTACTGTTAATGAGCAATAGTCTAATTTTAATGAGTATTAAGCGTCTAATAATGAGCTCCGTGTTATTACAAGATAACTGATATCACAACCAAAAAAACGGTGGCATTTTGGTAATTTCAGTGAAAATCGCGGTTTTCGTTATATGAGCATTATTACGCTTTTAATGAGCATCAGACGTATTATGCTGAGTATTAGGAGCCTAATAATAAGCATCATGATTTCTGGTTCATATCTTCTAATTCACTTTCCTTTTCTTATTTTTTTTCTTTTATAAAAACTTATTAAATTATATCCATAATCAACTCCTATGAACTTCAATATGTGAATTCAATGTAATATGGTAGTTTTTAAATATGGATTGATATGACATTTTAAAAATGAGTGTAACATGAGTACCAATTGAGCATATGTAACTTATAAACTGAGCATTGATATGAAACTTAAAGTTTTTTGTTGAGTATCACGACAATTTTGTTGAGCATCACACTTTCTATATTGAGTATTAGAAAAATGCAATTGAAAAAAAATGATATGTATGAATCTATAACCAACTCCTACATATCATGGTCCGTGATACAATATCTATAACCAACTCCTACATGAATCTAATGTAATATGATACTTTTGAAATATGCATTGACATAACATTTTTAAAATGAGCATAACATCAGTACCAAATGAGCATACATAATTTACACAATGAGTGTCGAAAAATTCGAAAGTTCATTTGTGTATGCTCATTCATTTTGGGTGCTAACTCATTTCAGTTCAGCATAAAACTCATTTTTAATGTTTTTGATATTAATTTGTGTGAGTTCATTGCTTTTAGGCGGATATTCATTTCTTTTAGGCTAATTTAAAATCTCAACCATGCTCAAAATTTTATTTGTGTATGCTCATATATTTAAAACTACCTACAACTTAGGTTTCCCCTAACCCAAAGCTACCAAACTCAAAAAATCCTCTATTGAGTATTAGAAACATACAATTGAATATCATCGTATGTACTTTTGTATCTATAATGAACTCCGTAAATCTAACGTAGTATGATACTTTTTGAAATATGTGTTCACATAACATGAAATGAGCACAAAACGTGTATCAAATGAGCACACACAATTTACAAAATGAGTTTATAAAAATTTAATATTACTCATTTGAAATTTTTAATGGACTCAAATATTCTTGTGAAAATGTTCATTTCTTTTTAAAACGAAAAGTAATAAGATCTAAACCTATTAAACATAACTTAGTGGATTCTCAATTCTAATTCAATTAACACTACCGTATTATTTTTTATGCATTTTGTGAAGGCTGAGTTTCTAAAATACAATTTTAGTAATCATTGAAGATAAATAACCCTCATAAGTATTAAGGTCCCACAACTACAGTACTTTGGTACAGGAACTTCTCCCACATTCAAAAGTGCTTGACGTTGGACGCTGTTCGGACTTTCCAATTAACTATCCTAAAGTTATTTCGGCTACCGTCAACCGTCTGGAAAAGCTGAATCCCAGGGACCAAGGAGACCTGGAGAAGATGATGAGTTGAGCGGCGTAGGATTGAACAGGACGGGAAGTTGGGCTGGAGAGATGGTCGCAGGAGGATCTGGCAGGGAGGAGCGAAGGCGGGCTGATCCGATCATATAATCCAGCTTAAAATTGAACTTAATTTCAAAAATACTCGGCTGTACGGTGCTCACCGTACAGCCGGCTATACGGTATCCTTTGGGGTGCTGCATACAACATCTCCATGTTCGGTTATGGTCGGTTATTCGGTTACCGACCCAAACCGAATGACATTTTTCGGTCGGTTTTCGTAATGTTTTCGGTCGGTTATCGGTCGGTTTTGATAGCAAAAAATTATAATCGGTTATTCGGTTATCGGTCGGTTATTTGACCGACCGACCGAATGCTCACCCCTAGACTGCTCGCGATAGAGGATTGCGCTCGGCGATGGACGGGCTGCCGGCTACAACCCGACGGGAGCGAAGGGACACGATGATCGAAGATCGTCGATCCTGAAAGATCGTCAATCACCTATACCGAGGGGAGCCTTCAACCTTAGGGATACCCTTTTCGAAAATAATTGGGTCTTCGAAGTATAATGTAATCTGGTCTTGTAGGTCCTGAAATAGATGAACTTGATTTGATATTAGCTTTCCACAATAAATTCTAGACATATTTCAGAAAGTGTCCATTAAGATATTGAATTATTAATCAATTGATGAATGATAAATATTCCACTTCCTATATAATTTTAATATCCAATGCTTTATTCAATTTTAAAGTTATACTATGTACTAAATATTTGTTTATCGCCTATATTCGGATGGAATTGTATTGTTGAAATTACACTTCAATATGATCAAATGTTGAAATTAAGTTTTGTCACAGCTTTATTGTAGTTTATTTTTTAATTTGTTTTGGATGAAATTGGATTGTTGAAATTAAACTTCAATATGATTAAATGTTGAAATTAAGTGGAAAATTTATTCCTAACATCAGAAAAACTCGAATTCAAAATTTAAGTAAAAACGTTCCACTATAGCACGCCAGTCTTAAGAAATAAAAGTAAATTGATAAAGTTTGAAAACCTATACAAAATGTAAGAAATAAAACAAATTCGAAAATTATTTTTTTATAATTTAAAAAAAAATTAAAAGAAGATAGTTTGAATTACTCTTTATATTCTATATTTTTAAAATAATACTCCTCCAGTCCCGAATTGAGTTGCAAACTTTGATTGACACAAGGATTAAGGAATGACAATAAATAATGCTTGTTTTTTACACTTTTGCCCTTCATCCTTAAAGTAGATGCCTTTAGATTAATAGGGAAAAAGTAAAAGTAAGGATAAATTTGTCACTTACTTTTATTTACATACCTAAAATGGAAAGTGGAAAACCATTTTGGGACAACCAAAATAGGAAATTTTGCAAAACAAATTGGGACAAAGGGAGTACATTTATAATTTATGAAATCTACATTTTTACGTTTATGTTTTGATTTTCAATTATAGATGAGAAGATAATTTTTGGGGGAAGATGGAACTAAGTTGATGTGCTATATAAGACAAAATAGAAAAATCTTACTTATTGCGAATTATAAATTATAATACCAAAATTTAGCTTCGTAACAATTTCCACAATCCTTCATTTGGATGGGGTAAAAAAATATTAGCAAAAGCATATTTTCACACTTTACGCTTTTACAGAGAATGTGAAAATATTTGAAAACTTACTTATTTTATACTTTAACAAAGAATATTGTTATGGTTTTTTACCTGATCGGCTAAAAAAATCAGAAATAACAAAGAAGGCAATGTTTTAAGAGCGATCATATTTTCATATCACATTTAAACTACTTGCACATTTTTTGTTTTTATACATTGCATTCACATTTTGTTAGTTATACTTGCTCTGTTTCAAAAACAGCTTCTTATTTTGACATAGATGCATATTAGTTGGAAACCAAAGTTATAAGTTTATTTTGCAAAAACATAAAAATCAGCTTTTTACTTAGAAAGTTCAATGAGTGTATTAAAGTGATAAACTCTTTAAGTTAAACACTTAAAAGTTAAAGGTTAAATGCGAATGGAAGAGTGTTTTAAACTTTTTTTCACTTCTTTTATTGCACAAAATACCTTTTCTTTTTACAAAACTTAGTCACTTTTACATTTTCAAAACACACTTTTTCTCAAACACTATCAACATTTATAATTATGCGTTTTCGCTAATATCGCATTAAAACCTTATTTAAGTAGAAGCATTGAAAACTCTCTTAAAGGGAATTTTAGTTTGAGATGGAGGTATTATTTCTTTCTTTTATTGTAACTTTTCAAAATTACATAATGTGCTATATTGACATTAATGCTTAACATTTTGATAATATATTCTACTCATGCATCGCACGGGTGAATTGCTAGTTTAATAAACACTACGGAGTACTTTTTAAAATATTGGTATTCAAAAGAGTGGTGCTTTATAGCAATGTTTAAAGAAAATGTTTTGTATTTTTTTTGGCAACAGTTTCTAATTGTTAATTGTTGAGGTTTATTCCTTCAACCCTTGGGTCCAACACGTAAGCCCAAGGATTTCGAGGGGATGATTTAAATGTGAGTGATTAACTGACCCAACAACTAAGGGGCGGAGCCAGGACACTGGGCTGGACTGGGCCGGGCCATGGCCAGGGATGGCCACCCCCTGTCTACGCCCCTGCCAACAAGCAAGTAAGATGGATTAAAGAAGGTAAGAAGCAGTAAAGGACCGGATATTATTAATGATAAAATAACCCCTCGGTACAATACTTTGGCTAAGGTCGTAGGCCGTTCGTCTTATCCTGCAGTAGAAGAACTGCGAGTAATAAGGTAATAAGCTAGAGTGCTAAGAATAGTAAGTTGCCAACCCTTTACAATGAAGTAAATGCTGCTATTTATACCACCAATGGTCAGCTGGCTACACTGACGTGGAGGGTTGTGGTTGGCTGATGCCTCAACCACCAAATCTTCAGCATTAAATGCGTTTCCCGCCAGAATCTGGGTTTCCCGCCTAACCCATGGAGACGGACGTCCAGCTGGGCCAGGGGCCTGCTCCTGATGATACTGCATCTTCTAAGGGTCGTTCGTATCGTGGCCCTTAGAAGATTTGTCACTTAGATTGGATTGTCATCAAGTGGCTGTGGCTTGAGGTGGCGACATTCGTCGCCACTGTGCTTGCTTGTGGGCCTGATTCACCATTACCTGTCTGGACGTTCGTCGGGGTGGGCTACCTTGTTGGGCTGGACGCCCGTCCGAATGAGGGGGTGAATGGGCCGGCCCTTTACTCGGGCCATTAACCCAACACAAGTCCCCCACTTCTGGTGTTCCGAGCATGCGTGGGACATGAAGAAGTATACTGCTTCTTAGGGGTGGGACGTTCCTGGCACGGGGCCATGCTTGCCGCGTCCTCGGAGATGGACGTTTCTCACCATGGTGTTTCTTAATTGGCGATGGTCCAGGAATCGAGGTGACGGCTGCCGCAGAAACGGTACGTTTTTCGGGGAAAGGTCATCATTACATTGCTTACTCCACGCGCGACACGTTCTCCTGGGTACGCTCCTCGCCACGCGTCACCTACCTATTGGTTTCACGAAACGGTGTTTCCCTTATAAATACCAGGATTTCCCAGAGGCTTAGGGTTCTCGATTTTTGCTTTCTCGCTCTAGAATCTTCGTTGTTCTGCAATGAGCTCGTCGACAAGGTCCTCAGCCCGCTTCCGCTGTTTCCAAGGTAATTTTGGTTTTATTTCCCTTCTTGTAACCCCTTTTTGGCTCTTCAAATGACTTCGATGGAGATTTCGTCGAGTTCCGGTTCAGGCTCTTCCTATGGTTCCACTTCCGGCTCTGAGTCCGATTCTCGTTCCTCTAAGGGCGCCAGTACTTCCGGCCGCTCCGCCTCCCCACCCGTTGTGGGGACAAATACTCAGGACGAGGCCCCTGGTACCTCCACTTCCGCGAGTGTCACCTCAGCTGATACCATCCAAGATGACGCTACCACCGGGGGAAATGGGGGCAACGTACGTCCCCTAGGAGGGCGTAGTACAAATGGTTGCAGAGAACGTGGCCGCTGACGATGAGCGTCCAGAAGATTATGATTCGGGTGACGAGGCCGTTGATGGGTCTGACGTAGAGGTGTTTGATTTGGGCCTCACGGTTGATGTGGAGCATCACCTCTGCCCCATAAAGAACGCGATTGGGCATGAACAGTTCTTCTCAGACCCAGCCCTCAAGGAGCTTAGCATCTACTGTCCTCCTCCGCTCGTCTACAGCCTCCGAGGCGCAACCCACGTGATGAGGAGACCCCTGACATTCATGTAATTTCCATGTTTATGTTTGTGTTTTTAATTAGTTTAGATTGATTGTTACTTTGGAAATTACACACTTTTGGTGTAATAATTTAGTTTGTAAAAATGTTTGTAATTTGTTTAGATTATGTTTATTCTGAGCTCAAACAGGTCTAAGATTACTCTAGGGACCATTGGTGAACATCACAAGTGCAAGGAAGGTGCAAAAATTCCAAGACAAAATGAAGATCCTGATTTTTGGTGTTGTACCCGGTCGGGTATGACCTATACCCGATCGGGTAAGTTGCTGAAAAATCAAATCGGATCAACCCAGGAACAACACAACGTGCAGGGAAGATTTTAACCACAATCGAGTGTCCATACCCGATCGGGTGGCCGGCATATTCGATCGGGTATGCCCCAGTTTTTTGTGCTTCCGCGAAGCAACCGAGTACCCGATCGAGTGCCCCTAAAGCCCGATCGGGTACACGACCCTGTAGCTCTAAAAAGCCTATAAATACACCCCATTTCCTTCCCATTAAATCACCAATTCCTACACTTTTAAGCTCAATTTAGTTCAGTACTTCCTTTATATTTTTATCATGTTTAGTCTCCAAATGAGGAGCTAAACTCTTCCATCTTGGTTTTGCTACTTTGAAGCTTAATGGATTTGTAAGTTGTGAGGTATTCTCTTTAATCTTCTTCCTTGAATATTAATTCTTCCTTCAAATACTATTTCTATATCAATGTTGGAGAGTGTTACTATGATGACAATTAGTTAACATCTTGACATTAGTTATAGTAATAGTTATTTCTTCTTCTATGTTAATATTGGGAAGTGTTACTAAGATGACAATTAGTTAACATCTTGATATTAACTATAGTAGGATTCATCTTCTTTAATATTCTTCCTTGAGTATTAATTAATTCATATTCATATTTCACATTAATACTTTGAACATTACTTAAAGGATCAACTAGTTTTGTTTCATATATTAATTATTACTAGAATCGATCGACGAATACGCTTGTTAATCGTTCGATCGTTTCACGGTAGTAAACTTGGGTTATTAATGCATGCGTTTCATGGTTAATAAACCAAGGGGAATTAATTATGTTGATTAAACCAATAAACGGCTTGTGTTGAGGTTATTAATCTCAATCGTTTTCATCTTGATTTTATTGCTACTATCGGATTAATATACGGCACGTGTTCTATATTAACTCGGTAGTAAGTTTTATTAATGAACGCGTCTCGTTATTAATAACTACCCTCGATGAACTGGATATACTCCTCGATTGAGTATTCGAGAGGAAGATAGTTAAAGATATAACCGGGATCG